TATAATATTATAATAATATTATAATAAAATATAGAATGTGTGTATTATATAAGTCCTAGCTTTGTAAAAAATAATCACGTATGAAAATTTATACAATTGAGATACTACACTTTAATAGTATAATTCGATTTCTGTGAAATTGTTTTGCGATTGGGAAATCTATGGAATACCTTGTACATGCTTCTGTGACTTTAACAAGCTCGATTTTAGCGATGTATCATTTCGAATACGGATTTCGCGTAACTAAATGCATATACTTCCTTGTATCCGTTATGTCTATGTAAATGGGCCTATTGCTTAATCCTCGGTAACTAAATCAACGTCATTTTCGTGGTCACGCTGGCGCGTTTGCTAACGAGAAATCTGATGAAAAAGAAAAAAAAAATGTATAAGAGAGATACTTTTCTCCATCTCGATGAAGAAAGAAACGACAGCGATATTCTTTCCGTTTTACATGTGATTAATTTTATAAGGTCAATAGTTATTAATTACCATATATTTGTTGAGAAATTTATGAGGTAGATATTTACATTTATTCACTCGCTAATTTATTCTCTCTATTCTATCTATTTATTCTTGATCTTCCTTTTTGATTGTTCCAGCGAGCAGCGGCAGCGAGACGAACGGCCTCGCGGAGGAGACCGCGGCGAGTGGCGATTACGTTCTATCACCAGAATCAAATGGGCCGTATCTGGCGGGTCCGATGGTGATACGAGTTTATCCGGATGGCCGACCGGTTCCGGAGGATCAGAAACGTCCGTTGCCGAGGGACGAAGACATCGATGAGCTCAGATACTCTCGTTTGCCATCAATAGAGGAGATCGAGGCTAAGAGCGGTAGCAAGTTCTACGGGAAAGGCGCGAACGAGCCGGCACCGGCCAAAAGGAGAATGTCCTTCGTAACCGACAAGGACTATCGACGATCGGAACCGCTACGTTTTCACGGCAATCCGCTGACCTACGAAAGAACAGCGTTCCGAGGCGCGATTAATGAACGCGGAGTGCGTTTCTATTGAAGAGAAAGAGAGAGAGAGAGAGAGAAGAGAGATATTTCGTGTTTTTTCTACCTGATACGAGTTACCTCGCTACATCACCTAGTGAAGGAATAGAAGAAGATTATTGAAAAAAAATTGCCGCTAATTGTAAGATCCTGCGAAGAGATGTTTCCGTGATCGTGCTTACTGCGATAATATATGGAAAGCATGAGAGAAAAACTAAAGATATCTAGCGATACATAATCATAGTCGCGGTAGATTACGATTTAATCAGCTGTATAATTACAAATTTATTGCCAACGCGCATTCTTATTTATCTGATATCGTTGTTGCGATAAGTATGCAAAATATCGTCCTCTTTTTTTTCGAATCTTTTGACTGTAGAATAGGAATTTAGGACGTAGCGAGGAATGTGATCCAAAAACTTTGTCTAAGATAAAAGTTTACAATTTATATAAATCGCTTATGCATCGATTTATATAAATAAGAGGAATTCACGATTTGCGAACCGCCTAAATTGGCTTGACGATTGGTCGGTAATTAAATTCTTATCTCGATAACACACGAATAATCGCCGACCATGAAATATCATTTAGTTTCTACTTATTTAATTTTATTCATTTATTATTTATTTAATATTCAATGTAATTGTCATGGTACATGTAAAATATTACGACACAATCATCGATGAAATTTTATCAATTATCTCTTGGACTGTGACTAATTCAAAAATCTTCTAGACTCTTCGTTCAATCTGTTAACATAAAAAATCGCACATATCATTTAAATTTATTTTGCAATATATTTGAGACGAAAAATAGCGGTTGATTAAAGTGAAATTCTCTTATATTTTTATTCCACAAATTTAAATCATATATTATTTTTTCTCTGATATATACGCGTCATTATGTCGCATAAAGGAACCAGTGTACCTCGCTGAAAAAATAACTTGTTACATATGTATTATCATTTTAATCATCATATACATTATGTTTTAATGTATAACAATATTTGTGCTAGAAAAACTATTGCTTTCGAAAATATCCATAGTTACATATCCATAGTTACATATACATAAAATATGTACATTATAATAATAGTAATACTCATGGATCATATCTGTCGGATACATAAATCGTTATTTGCATAAGCAAGTAACAATTTAATTAAAAAATCTACATGACGATTTACGTGACGATTACAATAATTGTTTATTAAATCTATACATTTTCACGCTTATTTGTAAATACTTGACGCATTTGCTATTAAGTTTAAATACCTACATCAATAAGATAGAACTTAAAGTGTGATAAAATATAGAATGTAATATATATTTGAAAAGAAATTAACAATAAGACAATATGTGATAAATTAAGACTAACGTGATGCCTAATATATATGTATATAAATACATACATATACAAACATACATGTACACATATATATGTATACGAATCACTTTATTATATTGTAAGAATCTCGAGATTTTATATATGATTAAAAATATTTATTTTATAAGTGCTCAAGATTAACAGAATTTCGTTATTATTAATAGATAATAAATAATTGCTATAAACACACACACACACATATTCTGTGCTATTAATACAATTATTAAAATTATTACTTCTCAGTCTTATGTATACATTATGGATTGTTTATTTAAGTCATCTTATTCAAAGGTTGAAATATCTGTTGTCTTAGCTTTCAATTCTTTATTTTGTCATAAATGAATGAAATTTGTGTCTATTTTTTTAACTTTGTCACATTTTTATCTTACCATCTTGTCATCAATTCAGATTAAAGAACATACATAGAATGTAGTAAATGTCATTATGTATACGAATATATATATATAAATTCGATATTATAAAGATTTGACATTACGATATAATGTTAACTTACACTAAGGCGATAATAATATTATATACATGTTTTGTATAATAGTGATATCACATATTTTAAGAGTGAAAAGATGACTTTAGGAAGCAACACACTATATTGCATCCTCGTATTATTTTTATACTTTGAAAGTTTTATAAAAACTTATACAATGTATACTTATATTATATATTTAATACTGATGTATTAAATACATGATATTATAATGAATATATTAATAAACATATTTATATACGTCTTAATTTATCAATTTCTATGCTTTTGAAACTTATTTAATCATT